TTGTCAACTAAAAGATCCATACAAAAAGTAGTAAGGTGTGTTTTTTGGAGAGGAAAAAAAACAGCAAAAACTCCAACTCTCAAAGGGCCGTGTTTGAACATCTCCTTTATTTTGGTAGTCAAGCACCTGAGAAGGTGCGTAAAGGGGCGTGGTTCGCTAAGACACGAAGCTACTTGTTCGCTTTTCGCAGCGCGAAGCTTTTTTCACTGCAGGAAACTCAGGGTTCACTCATGACAGGGGTACTGAGTGCACGTGCTAATTCAAGTCGCTACACACCCTGGCGTTCTGAGTGCACGTACTACTTTAAGTCGGTAACTCAGGACATCAAACGAGTTTGGATTGTCACCGAACGCAGACATATCACGCTGGCCTTTCACAGTTGTGATGCAAAATCTTGATATAAACATCCTTACAACACCACTGTGTATACTATGTTGTCTTCATTTCCCTATCACCGCTCAAAATCGTCTTTCTGCACTCCACTCTCTCTGTTCTACCCTGTTGATATGTACACTCAACTATACATTTCATCCAGGAGCCGTATCCTATCCTTCCCCAGGCTAGGGAAACCAAACTCCCTTAAAATGTTTTTAGTCTTCCCTACAAAAACAACGCCCTGGTAAAGGACATACACCTGATGTATATATGTGTGTAAAAGTAGGCGTGCGCGGAAAGTAAGAAACTGCGTCATTGAGAACAAATCTGGAAGATTCTTTTGTTCCAATGGCCTGGGGGAAGGATAGGATACTGCCCGAGGGTGTGGCTCGCTAGGACAAGAAGCAACGCTTTTTGAGCGCGATACCTTTTCGCTGCAGGAACAGCGGGTCCACCCCTGAACAAGAGTGGAACTGAGTTCCCTGCAGGGAAGTTTCGCGCTGTGAAAAGCAAAAAGCCGCTTTCGTCCTAGCTAATCGCGCTCCTTAAAACCTGCGCAGTGAAAGTTGTACTCGTCGTAATATGTGGGGCGATGTGTGCGCCACACCACAGTTTTGGCCGATGTCAGACTTTGCGAATCGCGCGATTCGCTAGCGTCTGCGGTCGCGTCGCGGCCAGTGAATCACTCAATTGGCTGGTACCGCAACGCGACCGCGGACGCTAGCGAATCGCGCGAATCGCAAAGT